CGGACACGGTGACGCGGACTATCGCATCGCAGGAACAGGCACCGGGAGTGATGCTGGGGGGAACCCTAGCCGGGAGCAACTCAGAAATGGCATATTGGGACTTGATCCAGGTCCTAGGGCGCAACGCCCCTGCGGAGTTTCGCGCCGTGCCATGCCCCTCGGAAGAGGTGGTCGACATTTTGGTCATTGGAGACTCTTCCTGTGCCATGGTCGAAGAGCCGAACAACAAATACCCGACCAAGCACCATGTGGCGGAGCTGCTTCAGGCCGAACAGCTGAAGGGGGTCCGCAACATTTACCACGGCATGGATTGGGGTAAGGGGCTTGAGGCTATCTACAGCACCATGGAGGCCAAAGTGCGATTCATCGCCGAGGACAACTCCCAGAAAGGCATCAAACAGCTTCCCATTTCGGTTTACGTGTTATGGGGAGGAAACGATGTCTTCGGCAACTATGGTTTCGTGGGGTGCAGATGGATCCATGAGAAAAGGTTCAACCGAACGGAGGCGGGCCGGAAGGCCGCGTCAGAGTGGCCGAAGGTTCAGAGGACTCGCGTGTACGAGCAGCTTGACTTCTTCAAGGAGGCGGTTGGGCTCGGGCGCATTCGAGACATTACCTTCATCAGCAACCCGGACGCTGAGGACTATGCCCTAACGTCCGATTACAACGAGGCTATGAACGGCTGCCTTCGGTACCTGGCCGACGGGGACATCGACGACGGGACCCGCGTCAAGGCTATCGACTCGATCGACCCATCGGTTATGACATTGCTAGCGCACAGGTACGATGACGTGCACATGACATACAGCAATGCCAACCGGAAGGTTGTGTCGAAATTCCTTCATGCGGCAATCAACACACAGTTGTTGGCCCAGCGGATCAGGTACGCCCTCCCAGCGATTGGGAGGGTCGAGCCCTACGTGAAGGGTGAGCCGGTTGACCCCGTGCTTTTCGGCTGGCCAACGTGCTTGAAGCTAGCCAAAGCACTTCACGAGTTCGCGGCCATGGAGGAGAAGCCCGACTGGTCTCACGACCAGGAGGGCGACGAAATCGACGTCGACGTTGCGGCATGGATGAAGGTGGCGGAGGACGAATCCTATAACGCCATCACCATCGACATGCAGGGAGCCAAAGTCGACGAGTCCGAGATCGTCCTCGAAGCCGTTGACAAAGGAGAGGAAAACTCCGATGATGAACTCGATCGGGTGGAGGTTGCGATGTCCCAGTACATCGACATCACGGCGGAGAAGCACGGACTGTCCAAGGTTCCCGACGACGAGGATAAGGACAAATGGCTCTTGCTGGGGGATGACACCCATGACTTCGGATGGGATGCGGAGAATTTGCCCCCGGGAGTTCACCGTGCTGCGCCGGAAGGCCAGTCGATAATCATAGCGGAAGGAGACCTTTTCGATCAAGAAACTGTGGCGTCTGTGGAGCTGGTGTCGGAGGCTGATGAGTCCGAGGCGGCAGGGATGAGTTCCATGATCACCGCGGAGTCGGTCGCTTTCGAATCCGTGACGGAGGGCACCAGCACATCCAAGCAACCACCAACCCCGCCGCCGTCAAGGCGCGGAACTGCTAGCAAGCACGCTGTGGGGGAACCCCAGTCGACTGGTTTCATTGAGATTGGAGACGAGTCGGACCCCACGGCTGCAGGCTCGACCGACAAGCCCCAGGTGAAGGCGATGCCGAGGATTGCGAAGGCCAAGGTGCCGCCGGGCAACGCCGAGGGGGAACCCCGGTCGAAAAGGCAGAAAGACCCTAAGCAAGAGAAGATCTTCTGGGAAGACTGGGCGAGGACCCGGAAGATCAATACCAAGGTCCCGGCCGAGGAGCAGAGCGAATGGCTCGAGGTCGAGGACATGGGGCACGTCCCGAAGGTCAACATGGACCGAGACTACCGACTGGTAGCAATTTCGAAGAAAATGTCCTATTTCCTCCGGGGAGGGGCATTCAAGGACGGCAAGCCCCACCCGCCGTTTCGCGGCATTGACCTGTCGGTGGAATTCGATGCGCTGGTCAGGCATCTGAATGACCGGATCGCCAACGTCATGCCCTGGGAGGTGATGATCTGCATCCGGAACAATAACACCCGCAGATTCCGCGTGATGGTTGGGCCCCCTCCATTGGGGGAAGCATCCTGGAAAGGATTGCCGTATCAGGCTTTGCGGGTGAGGGCCGTGCAAGGACACCACAACGAGCTCACAAGGAAATACACCGAGCAGGCGATCCTGACAAATTTGTATTCCTTTGACGAGGAGTTCACCGCGGCCAAGTACCTCGCCGGCCAGTACCCGAGGGCTGTGCGGCACCCGGAACTTACTGACCAATGGCGCCGAGGCTTTCCGGCTGTCCTTTATCACACCTGCGACCTCAGATCGGCCGAGAGTATCCTCAAGTTCGGCCTGGTTCCGGGGGGCTATCCGAAGTCGACAGGCAGGGCCCACGTCTACTTCAACCCAACGCCACCCTGGGAGGCGCAGATGAGGAAGCTGGCAGGCACGCGAGCCGGAAGGCCCGTCACAATCGCATTTGACACCGAGCTCATGATGCAGGACGGGATCAGGCTATTCACAAGTGATGAGGCCTTCATGTCCGCGGACTGGGTTGGAAACGCCTATGTCATATACGCCTTCCATACCCGCAAAAATGAATTCCTTTACTTCAACCGGGCATACCCAGAGCTTCGCAAGCGGTATCGCGAGGCACTGACGGCCGAGCTCGCGCCTGGGCCTCACGACGTCAACCCAAACTTTTTCCGAAGTGAGAACACCCTCACCGCAGAGAAGGCCTGGAGGCATTGGCGGACCGTCGTTGAGGGGACGAAGAACGGCAAGCTGCTTCCGGGTTCCGTCACCGAAATTGAGACGATCGATGAGCTCGCTCCCCGGAAGGGGAAGTCGAATGAAAGACCTGCAGGCCCGACCTATCAGGTTGCGCCTGCGACTCTTCGGAGGGTGCCCGAGCTCTCCAGGGGGGAGAAAGGGCATGGTCGCGGCTGGAACAACCTCCGGAACCGCTACCAGAGCGAGCCACGTTGGGAGGACCTCCTGTTCACGACCATGATGAAGATTCCGGTCGTAAAATGTTGGAACCGGAGGTGCAACAACCAACAGATCGACGGCTACCTGTTGTGTCAGGAATGCCGGACGGACATGGTGGCTTGGACGGACGCACGCATTGCCACTGAGGTGGTACGCCTCGAGCACACGGCATCCCTCCAGGGCATGGTTTTCTACCTGGAGGATTTGCAAGGTGGCGGAGGGAAGTGGATCCGTTCCAAGCATCACTTCAAGGAAGGTGAGAAGCGGGGAGGAATCTCCGTCGAAGCGTCACTCAGGAAGACGGCAAAGACGCATCTGACCAAGGCGTTGGCGATGGGGTGCGAGAAGGTATCCGACCGGCTCTCGGTCGACCCCTTCTACGCATACAACTGTGCCACGCAAGGGCTAACCCCTGAGAGCCTCGATTTCCTTGGCCGGATTGCCCGTGCGGTTGTTGCTGACCCAGGCCGTACCAGGGAGGAGCGCGAGAGAGGCGGATCCCAAAACACCGGAACCAAGCTGGTGTTCATCCCGAATCTGAATAAGCGCGACCCCCATGAGCTCAACGTTTCCACGGAAGCATTCATCGCCCACCACGCGAGGTTTTACACCATCACTCAATTCGCAGTCATGTGTGCCTACCGCTTCATCCCGGGCAACCAAGTGCCGATCATCATCGGGCACAGCGGATCATACGTCCCGGAAGGGAACGTCGAAAGAATTTTGGAGGTCATGACCAGTTTCATTCGGGCCTCCTGGATCAAGTTCGACTCCCAGGGCACCATCAGCACCGGTGAACTCGAAATCCCGCGGTTTTCCTCCGGCCGGACGCGGACCTATCCTGTTGAGGCGAGGAACACCCAGTGGAGGGCGATCACCCGGTCCATTCGCCCCGAGCCCTACACCAAAGGAAAGGGCAAGGGCAAAGGCAAGAGCACGGGGCGTCAGGACTGGAGCTCTTGGTACGGGTGGTCCTCTGGATGGCATCAATGGCGTCAGGGCCGGTGGGGATGGTGAGCACCCGCGTCAATTATAAAAGTTTGCTTATGTTGCGGTAACCATTTCAATTTCATTGGTGATGTCATGTTCAAGACTATTATCTTTCATCCATTGATGCCGCAACATTAGCAGTGCCAAGTTTGCACGCCCGGCGGAAGCTGCGGCCGTAGGTCAATCCACGGCCGCCACCACCGGATGTCATTTCAGTATTGCCCAGCGGAAGCTGTGGTCGTGAGATCACCTTCGCTGATGGCAACAGTGTGAATTCAGTTTCAAGCATTCACATGGAAATCACATGTGTTTTGCCCGACGGAAGTCGTGGTCGGCCGATTCGGATGGCACGCTCCTGCAAAAGTCCAAATGCATCGCAGTTGCAGCGACCATTGACGCATGAGGCCTCATATCACCATGGCTTGCCACCTATCCCACTGAGGCTCTACGTCTTCACTGCCGTGACCTCAGAGGACTTTGCTTCAGGCATGGGGGGAGAAACGTGTACAAAGTACTGTTCTCACCAACGCACCTCTGCAAAGCGGGGGGTGTTGATAGGTAATGGCGTACCGACATAATACTGGCTCAAGAAAAACAAGCTGCTGCCCGTGCTGACTTTTAGGTAGATCCCACCTTTCAACAAACAGTTGGTTTTTGTTGGGCGCCAAGATACGGAACAATCGACCAACATATGTGAGCATAGTTGTGTGTTGGGTGCTGGAGGAAAATCAAATCGGCCAGCAAATATATAGTTGAACATGTTTTTTGTGGTCGGGTGCCAGGGAAAAACAAAAAACAAAAACACAAGGAACCTCTTGCTGCCTGCCCCCCCAAAAGAAAACAAAACAAAACAGCAACACAGAAGAAACTGGGGCAAGAAACAAGCAGACCCCCCGAACAAAAAGAAAAGCTAAACAAACAAAACTGGAAAAAAGAGAAAACTGAAGAAACAAATGCGCCCAGGCCCGGAGCCCCTCGGCGGGCCGCTTCTTGCGTGCCAAGCGGGAGGTGCGGAACGGGGAGCTGCTGCTGGAGATCCCCACGGCCTGCTGCTTCTCTGTGACCCCGGGCTCTTTGGCCGCTTTGGGGTGGTTTGGGTATGGGCTTCAGGGGTAGAAACATGGCCTGGAGAATTGGTTGACCAAACCGACAGAACATTGGATGGTTTGGGCTTCATGGGTAAAAGAGCATGACGTTTAACCCGTTCAATGGCCTGGATAAGTAAATTGGTTGACCAAACCAAGATTGGGATGGTTTGGGCTTGGGTAATTTGTTTGTTGACCTAACCCATTCAATGGCTCCTCCAAAGAACCAGATTTCTGGAGGGGGCCTTGAAAACAAACCATTTTGAGGGCGGGTCGGTGGCAGATGTCCTAAATACATTGGTGTTGGTTGACCAAACCTGTTAACATGATAGAATTGTATCGCAATCCAATTGATCCTTGACTCTTGATCGAGGGCCACCTACCTCTAGAGGTTAAGTGGGGCGGGCTGCGCGATACCCCTGGCGGATGCTAGCCGGTCGCTGCAGCGCACTTAAACCTCAGTTTTTTCAGTGACACTGCCATCGCATAACGAGTGCGACAAACCTAATTCTCGCAGCATCCATCTCAAGACCCCCCCATACCCTCCAAAAATAACAAACCCATTCCAGTGGATCCAGTTTCTTCTTAGGTGCTCGGGATTGTACCCTCTAGGTTTTACGTGGTGGTTTCTCTTGGTTGCCTATAGCGCTTGGTCTTGACCGAATCGCCCCAAAGGCACCTGTCATAAAATGCGTCATTTTTCCGGACCAGAAGGGTCGGCCCTTCAAAACCAACCTTCAGCAACCAGCCCCCCCTCCCCCCAACCCCCCCCCCACAACTGGAGAGCAGGCGCCTACGAGAAGCTCTTCGACGCCAAGCTCTGCGCCGCCCTGGAGGCCGGGGGCATCCGAAAGGAGATGGCGGAGCTGGCGCTGGCATTGGCAGTGGAGAGGCGGCAGGGCGAAGCGCGGCTTGGCTTGTACACGCGTCTTGGGGACGCGTCTCTCAAGATTGACAAACAAATCGGACGCCTCGTCTTGGTGGCAAGCCCAGCCATTTGGTTCCTTAGGCTTCTTTTTTTGGGTTTTTGGTGGGTTTAGCAGAGGTTTCCACCAGACTCACTGAAAGTTAAACTTTCTGCAGGGGATTCCTTTGATAAGTAAGGTTCGAGGTGAATATCACTCAGGAACCAACTCACAAGTGGAACCCAAATGGGCTTCAGTGGTGGCCCAGGGTAGCCAAGGGGTTCAACGGTCGAATCGTTGAAGCCCTGAGTTTGCTAGTTTGCTTGCTTTTTGGACGGGGGTTCCTTAATCTTAACATCAAAAAGTGGTCCATCAGAGGTTTGCTCAAGCAAAAGTTGCTGAAAGTCTTCAACCAAGGGTTTGGCCGGGTTGAATCCCCAGACCATTGCATGTCCTTGTGCATTCTGTATTTGCTATTGGTTTGCACCTTCAACCTTTAGCTGTTCGGAAAATAATGCTGAATGTCCCACTAATCTGCAAGCAGCTAGCTATCAAATTTGAATCAAGGGTTGCCTGGGGGAGGGGAAAAGCCACTGGGGAAGGAGTGAATGAGGGAACGTGTTCTAGTCTCTTCTGCTTCGTTCCCAAATCTGGATTGAGAGAGAGAGAGAGTCCAAGATGGCTTCCACAAGCCCAATCCCACTATCACCAGGGGAAAAGATATGCCCTGAATATAGTGGCTATAGAATGATGGCATGTCCATAAACCCCAGGTAGTGGTTCGTAGAGCGAGAGAGCGGTGTATCCAAGGACCGCTGACTGCCTGACCGAAGAGTCGGCCTGGCTGCCGTACGTGCAAATGCTGGACTCCTGCTCTTGGCTTTAGGTAGGCGACCCACAACCATCCACACACCCCCGCGTGCCAACACCCTCCCAGGTCTATTTGGGCGGCTTTTTCAGCAAAGCGTGCCATTCAGGATTTGGCTTGACCGTCAATTTGGCCGGTTTAGTCTTGACTTAGTTTTGGGTGAGCCTTGGTCCGAGTCCGTTTTCTTGTTTTCCCGCCTACGTGATGCTGACCGTTTTTCTTTCGCCGCAGTTCTCTTGCCAGCGCATAGGAGTGCACTCCCAGCTTTCCCCACTTCTACAAGGACTCGGACCTAGATCTGCTGGAGAATCCTCCCTTGAAGGAGTCCCTAGAGGCAAGAACCCGGGCTCTGCAGCTGCTGGCAGCCAAGAGCCGGATGAACGAGGTGGACGTCAAGGACCACCAGGGTGCCGGAGTGCCGCACGCTGCGGGCGTCGGGGGGTTGCCACGTTGGGAATGAGAAGTTCGACGTCCAGTGGGAAATGGATAAGCTAGACCACGCGAGGTTCAGGAAAAAATCGATGGAGTACCACAGTACCTGATCCAAAATCCTGATGGATGTTGGCCCCAGGAAGCCGATGTAACTTGCCCGCCAGAGAAAGCCTTCCTAGGATGGCCGGATTCCATGGAATTGGTCGGCAAAGAAGCCCAGCCGAGAGTCTACACTTGATCTTCAGTGTTGCTGCCCGGAAATCGCAGCATTTTGGAGGTCAACACAAAATAGAATCTGTTCACCAGCATCTGCATTTTGAAAGCACGATACACAAACGAACTGTTTTGCAGCAGTTGAGCAGAGTGGTTTTGCTATGCATTCACTTATTCGGGGGGAACTCTCTTCATGCCGCGGAGTTGCGGAGTTACCGCGTAGGCAGTTCTGGCGGGGAAAACGATTGCGTAAGGGCTCTGCGGTGACACCCCACGTAGGAGGCTGGTTGTGCCTTCGCGAACCACAAAGTTCTGGAGGAAGAGACAAATGCCGTCCATAGCCCAGACACTTTGAATCGGAAATTCACTGGGCTGTTCAAGGGCAATCCCGAATCCTTACGTGGGGGTACGAAAGGGGCCCCCTTTGTAGTGGTTGTACAATAAAGATTATGGATTAGCATTCGCCAACACTCAATTTTTGAACAGCCCAGAATAAACGTTCAAAGCTACAGTTTCAACCCTTGCTGGTGCATGTTGAGCGCGCAAACTTACTGGTTGTTTGAATGGTGGCTGCCCCTTGAATGGTACACAGACACACAGGCACCTCGATGGAGCCCCGAGGAGGCCATGCAGATTGTTCTTGGCCGTGCCTTCACTTGCGACCTGCTGACCTGCATGTTGCCGGTGGGGGACATGTTGCTTGGACTGGAGCCAACAGTGGTTTCAAGAGGCCAAGCGCTCCCCACCTCCCAAAGGCTCCATAGTTCGGTGTATCCAGAGCTCTATTTGGGTTCTAACCCATGCTCTGGATCCACTTTTGGCTTCCCTTCCAAGGGGCTTTGAAGCGAATTCTGCCCGCTGGCTTGTGACCTTTGCGTCCTTTTTCACAAGGTCTACTTGCAAATGGCTAGCTTGAATGGAGACGACCAACATGTGCCATTGTGCCCACCTAGGTGGTTTTACAGGCAAACCAAGGGGGAAAACCACCGTTTCTTAGACACTCCCTTGCTTTCACCTGAAGCGGTGGGCTATGAGACAGATGTTGGCTGCTTGGGCTATGTTTCGTCGATCCACATCTTGCCAGAATTGGAGCCCGGGGTTTCCTTTCATGGCGGCTTGTGAGACAGTGTTGTTAGAGCATCCGAAGAACCGAGATGTCTTTCTGACATCTTCGCGAGCTTTCAGAGTTTGTTTTGTGAACATGCGTCTCGATTGTGGAACCAAACCTGTAGGGCCAACACAACTCAGTTCAAACCTGTTGCGAGTCTGCTTTCTAAGCGGGTACTGTAACAGTGGCAAATCATGGCAGCACATAATAAATAACTTCAAATAGTGTTTCGGGGAACAAAGAGGAATCTAAGCGGTCCGGACAGAGTGGGAGAGGTGCACGTCGGGATTCCAAGTCGCTGTTAACTTGCTATGTTGTTTTAATCGGGAACCACCTCAAGCAGTATTTGTGGACATAAATTCCCAACCAAATCAACGGGTCCGGATGAGAAACATGGCCAGCAGTTTCAACCGTTTGGAGCTCAAGGCCGAGCCTTCCGTGGTGTGTTTGTAATCTTCCGATCCCAACGGCAAAGCGAAAAGGTAGAAAAGCACACCGCTACTATTGATAAGATGAAGAACACTCTTGCAAGTGTCAGCGAACCTGACTGGTCCTGGAAGACCATGCTTGTTTTTAAGGGCCAAAATCCGTTGGTTCCATGTTGGGAGGGTTTTTGGTGTATTCCTTCCCGTGGTCTGGGTTTGAGGCTGAACCACACCTTCTACCCCAGCTGCGAAGTGGAGGCCCCGTCCGTTGGCGCGGAATCCTGGAAGCTGCGCTCGAAGATGGACCTGCAGCCGGGGGAGGAGCTGAGCTGGTGCTACTGCGAGGCGGGGGGACATGAGAGAAATCCGCAGGGAGCCGGGCATTTCCTTGGTGAAATCAGGGGAAGGAGACATGGAATGTACCCAGGCTTGGTTGTGGGTCATTCCATTTCTCAGCCACTGAGCAGCAAGTTTCCTGCGGCACTTCTTTGAGAGGGTTCCCTTTTCACGAAAGCGGGGGGCCATCGCAGCAAGAGATCTGGTTGACTCCCCCGGCGCTGGACCGCGCACGAGCATGCGCCCATCTCGTACACATCTTTGCAGCTAGGGAATCTGTCTGAGTGACTTTCTGGCAATGTTCATTTAAGGCTCAGAGGCGTCCCTTTTAGGTTAGTTTTGTTAAGAGATGGCGCTGGTGTCGATTGGTTTTGCTCCATTCACCAGGGCCATCTATTTCACCAAAAGAACGCATATGTTAAGGTTGCTAATTCTTAATATCTTGGCAACCCCTGTGTCGTGTGTGGCGTTGTTGCGGAGCGGTTCCTTTGAATTTGGCATGGTTTTTAGGGGATAATAGTTTTCCATATTTTTTTGGCGGGGTCCCTTTTGGTGCATTCATTTCCTTCTTCCTTTCTAACGGGCTTCCATTTTTGGGGATTTCCTGCTATTGTTTTTCTTTTTCCTTTGCGGGGTCCCTTTGAAGCAAAAGTGGTGCTACTGTGAGCCGCCTTTTGCTTTGCCGCTTTTTCGTTTTTGCGGGAGGGAGACTGGAGAAGCTGGGCCTGCCTATTTGCATCCTTCTTTTGTTAAAGTATTTGTCCGTTTCCGGACGTGACCATTCTCCGGGTCAGAATGGGCGTGAAGCCGAGCCCAGGAGCATGTTTGGATGAGTCACATGCATGCGGCGAGTTGCCCCCAAAAGGCGGATCCATTTTCGAATGAAACAAAAAACTGGGCCGCCCCGGGGTTGATGCTAAACCACGCTTTGGGCAGGTCTCCAAGCTTTTGAAGCATTGTTTCCAACCAACGAATCAGCGGGGTGTTTTCCAAGAAACACTGGAGATTAAGTCCGAAAGGGCCCCGGGTGTTGCAATTGTTGGGGAATTCCGTGACGTTGGCCAGTTTTAAGTTTGCGATCCTGGCCGGATGAGGTTCGGCGAATTTGGACTTGATGGTGTTCCTTTCCTAAAGCCACAATACGGAGTGCTTGAACCCTTTAGGAAGAATACTCAAGTTGCTTGAAGCATTGCTACACGCAAGCAAGCCTGGAGCCCACCCTGTGGTCTGCACAAGTATGCTTCTTCGGGTGTCCTGAAAAGGAAGTCCCTTCTTGGTTGTTCGCCTTTAATGGGGAACTCATTGGCACAAACAGTACCATTGTCACTGAATGACTGGCTTGTTGACAACAGAAGAGACCTTCAGGAACAGGCTTTGCTTTGTTATGCCATCAAAGGCCTACCTACCCTCAGGAATGCAGGTCTTCAAGCAACACTTGACATTGGCTTAGCACCCCAGAGTGGTTCCTAAATCAAGGACCCCTCGTTGCATGAAGGGTATCCAGAACAACTCGCTCCATTTGGAGGCGTCACTCATTGTAGGACACGCTGTGGGAGTTAGTTGGCGCTTGGATGTCGTCCCATAGATTCATAGTACTTTAGAACTGCTAAGTACTCTCGGGCGAAGGTATAAAACGGTATGTGGGGGTTGATCAAAGGGTCTTTTAAATGGGATGCCCTTTGGGAAATTCACTATACAGATGATATGTCCCAGCAAATGGCAAAGTTACCCATGGTCAATTTGGGGTCAAACGGAGTATTGATGCACCCCGTGTAAAGCCTTTTCTTGGACAATGCAGCAAGGCAGCCCTTGTGGTGTCAGTTTCCTGGCATGTGGAATGAAGAACTTTGATTCAAAGACAAATACACCACTTGCTATTTGCGCCACCTCTGTTTTGATCCCTTTTGGGGTGGCTTTAAAGGGAAACCACAAGGATCCCCCCCCCCCCCCCCGATTTTGTGGCGGAGCTCCGTATTTTGTTTGAGACCAACACATGCACGTCCGCTCGTCTGAGGACCCAAACCACTTGCTTCTCCAGGCTTCAGGCTTCGTGATGCAGGAGCGGCAGTATTCAAATATTGGGTGTGGCTCAAAAAACCGGAATTCCACAATGGAACCCTGGTAAGTGGAAACATGGTGGCCAACACCTGCGTAACTCCCCCCCTGTGAAATTTCGAGCCACAGCCATATGGGTGTGGGTCAAAATGAAGCCACCAGGGGACCGCAGCTTTTAGTCCTTGGTTCCATTTACCAGGGTTTCATTTTGGGTACCTATTTTTGACCCACAGCCATATGGGGGTCAGAATCGGATTTGGACCTAGCAAATTGAGGTATGCTAACAAGGTGAAAACACACACACACACATGTCAATTTCAGAGAAGCATTGCACTCGCTTGCAATGTTAGTAGCAGAGCAAGGCAAATATGTCGGCCTTGGAAAACATGTGTTTCTTGTGCAGGAGCCATTGTTCTGCTCGGTTTCATTTCACAATCAATCTCAATTGGCAAGACTATTTGGAAACTACATTGTTGTTTAGAAACTCTTTATTCGGGTACATGTTTGGGGTTCTTTGGGTTCTTTGGCCGCGAGGGTGGTTGTGGCTGTATTTCCGCCTTGACATGCTTTTTATGGCACGGCTAGCACGAGGAAGCCGGAACCCCTCGTGTTTGAACCGCCAACAAAACCCGGTTGGAAGAGCGTTCCAGCTTAAAGTGTTCAAGATGACGCCCGCACTGATCCAGAGAAGCCGCCATGAAGGGGCCGAATGAATCTTCTTCACACAGACACACCTACACCCGAAGCGCCTGAAACCGAGAACTGGAACTGCCTTACTCCCCCCGCCCCGGCCATTTATTCTTCAGGGTTTTTTTGAGGCGAGTGACTGAGCAACGGTCAATGCATAGAGTCATTGACTGGTGAAAAGTCTGACAGCAACCCGTTACAACAGGGGTGTTTCTTGGCAAAATCCAGTGCTTTGTGCGTTTTCTGGGCCAGGCAGACATGTTGGGTATGTGTTGCTGCCTTCTCCCTTCTCAACAAGGGCATCCCTTGCCCATACAGGAGTGGTCCCAAAAAGGGGTGGTCCGATGTGTTGGGCTCAAGTCACAGAAGGGTTGAAGGCCAGATTCAGGATGTAAAAATTGGACGCGCGTTATTCCTGTCCCTTTCATACGGAAATACGGCCCTCCTCCCCCGGGCGAAATATAATATATTGTAAGGTACACTTTGGTAAATGGGTGTTTTGCAGCGATCGAAATGACGATATCCGAGTACGTCAATGTCATTGTTCGGATTTGCGTTGGCTTAATACATTTTTAGTAACTATTGGTTTAGTGTTTGTTTGGTGTTGGTTTACTTTTGAGTATAAAGTGTTCGTACAAGTACTGGAGTTGGGGTTGGCAGGAAGTTTGCTGGTTAAGAATTGCTTAGTGTTCGATTCGGGGTGTGGATTAAATAAAGTTTTTTGGGGTTTCAGCAACAGGGCCCAGGGATTACACTTCCTGGTGTCTAACATGCAGCAAACAATGAGAGAGGCGCGTTCACGTAATTCATTGCGGTGCTGGTCCTTTGACTCGCGGGCGGCAAAGCCTTGCGCTTTGCGTGTTTGCAGCGACGTCATGTTTCAGGGCGACCTCACCCATTTGCTGGTGTGGTAGGTAGGGAATGACCTTCCGGGTTTCGGGAATCAACCGAAAAGGGATTCCCTGAAAGGAAACCATAGGGGATTGTTTATACAGGGTCATTCCCCTTATTCCCTGCTGAGAACTAGCAAGTTTCATATTCCCATATGTTCAGCATGTGAATCCCTATACTTTGCCTATCATGGCAACCAGCTTTATTGGCTTCAACTATATATATATATATACGGGAACCAATCCAGGGATGGCCGCTTGCCTTCCTTTTCGCAAAAGGTCTCTTGAGTTTTAAGCCACAAGCTCGTCAAACAGTAGACCAATTCAGGACGATTCAAGAGGACAGCATATGACGATATCAGGTAAAGAAGAACCTGTGTGCGTGTGTGTCCTCTCCAGTTTTCAGCTTGCTTCAAATAACCCTGCAGGTAAACTAGCCGTGAAGAGGTAGCACACAAGAATATCGCAGGTTTCCCTCTCAATCATGCCAACGCGTCATGCTTTGCATGAGTCCCTGATTCTATTTTGAGGATCCTCAGCTTTTGAAGCCCGTAGGGTCCAAGCAATTCTTGTGTTTGTGGTTTTGGTCAAAGTGAGATCGTCAAATACCAAAATTCCCTAGGCGCAAGTTTGGCGTCACTTGGACCTCTCGGAAGGGGTGAAGCACAACTTCGAGTCCGCAGGAGAATCCGCACAACCGGATCATGGCACGCCCCAGCGACCTACGTAAAGCCTTGCTCTCGGTGTGCAACGAGAAGAGCCCGGAGGAGCGATGGGGTGTTCGATCAGCGGACCTGCCGTGCGGTTTGTGGATTTTCGATTCCACCGATCCGGGGGAAAGATGTAGGAACATTGGGCCAAGCCTCTTGTTTGAATCGCCCAAACCCAGGCCGTTTGGGCAGAAGCTCTTTCCTAGGGAGCATGAGAGAAGAATTGTGGCTGTGGGTCCCGTAAGTCCTGGCTTCGGTTTGTTTGTCTTCAACCCAAGGCTTTGCTAAGATCTGTGGAGCCAAGTACGAGGCGGCTTCTCCCAAGGCTTGGCAAAACATTATCCTGCATCAACAGTCCATGTTTGCTTGCCTTGTTGAATATGAACCCAACATGGTTTGGAGAGTTGTGTCCGCTTCCGTGCTTTTCCATACCGAATTCCGAAAGACAGTTATATATATATATACACTGTGCTTTGACACCTTCATGTTTGTTAGTTGCCTAGGAAGACACCCACTTTTGAGCTGTGATTTTAAGCTTGCGGAAGTCTATTCTTCCCTCTCTCTCTCTCAAGACGCCAAGATCCAAAGATCAGGCTAGCCCATCTTCCACAGGCGCTGTGCTTGCAGCGCGGGCGGCAGAGCATGTTATGCGGAGTGGGCACGAGCCACTTGCGCCCCCGTTTGCCACCGCTTCCACAGAACCTGAACGGTGCCATTTCAGAGTAATTTATGTGGCGGCCGGGTTTCTGTTGGCTTCTTGGTGTCATCCCTTTGGCCGAGAGATGAGTCAAGCCGGTTTGCGTTTCCAGGACTTTGATAAGGAGCGGCGCAAGAAGTTTATAGAGGCTCTTCCAGATCCAGAAGAGGAAGGGGTGGGGCTTAGCATGTTTCTTGCACCTCGGCGTGACCAGCAGCCTGTTTGCCTTGAACCAACTGTCTTCAGTGTCAACCCACGATGTTTTGGGGGTTCCCCGAATCAGCGGAACGCACCTAAAGGAAGATGCCATTTTGGAAACTGCCAACAGCTTGCTTTCAGCCCATGGTAGCAGAAAGGGGACACAATATTTTCAGTTGTGGATGTTTCGACAGAGTTTCCAAGCGCAGAACCAATTGACCATGCAATGTATTGACATTATGCAGGGTTGCAAGAGAATTTCAGGTGCATCAAGTACGATTGTTGTGCTGGAGGGACATGTTTGAAAGGCGAGTCACAGATGTTTTGTTGATATTATGACAGGCAACGCTTGTAATTCAGGCGTGAACACATTTATCCAAGTCTAGGTCAGGTTGCTCTCAATAATAGACTACGGTTGCACATAATGGGCAAACAGTTGATCATGAACTCATGCCACAATAATTCATAGCATTGGCTTATTTTGACAGAGACATGTTGCAACTTTGGCATATATAGTTTAACCAACCTTAAACATCGGTGCCACAAGGCAGGAACATTGCTACTTGGACCCATACAATCCAACCCGATGCCAACTTGATTTCTTTGGCAGGAGATTTGCGCAACAACATTGAACTCGTCCTACAGTCATACTGCGCCCATTTCTTGTTTGCGGTCGGGTTGTATCTTTAGACTTCAACACTTTGGGAAATCGTGGGTTTTCCATTGAACCGACAGAAAGTTAGAAGGGGGTAATTAGCAGCAACGATTTGGGGAAGCAGACGTTGTCTTGTTTGCGGGCAAGCAACTCCCGGGCCACAGGACATGATTGGGGTGTTCTCTCGTTGCTGGTCATGGAGACCTTGGGGCCCCGAGTTCTGCGCCGGATAGATGTGCTCATTGCAAAGCGGACTCACTCCCTGCGTTTCCTGACCTGAAGCACTTTTTGGGAAGACAATTTTAGTGGTAAACAGCAGGTTTGGAATTCTTTTGGGCAACCCGCTCAGGACGTGAGTGGAGCAGGGTTTTGCACATTTCCTGTCAACAGAAACAACAGACCACAACAACGCTCAACACACATCCCATTACACACACACACACTACAGAACACAACACACAAACACCCACACCCACACTATGCACAATTCCCTCGCACATACACACGCCACAAGACAAACGCACACGACACACACACATACACATACACATACACACGCACACACACACACACACACAGTACACACCCACCTGCCCGCCCGCCCGCGCGCCAACCCACGCACTCACGCACGCACGAACGCAAGAACACACAGACACAGAAACACGCACACACTTAGCAACAAAGCAAGCAAACACACACGCAAGCACGCACGCAAGCAGACGGGCAAGGACGACGGAATTACACACGCAAGCACACATGCAAGCACGCGTACGCAGATGCCCACACACACATGCCCACACACATGCCTACACACATGCCTACACACATGCCTACACACAGGCTCACACGCAGACACGCACACACACACACAGACACCATGCACCCACACACACACACACACGCCAACACTACACACACACACAACCACCCGCCCGCTCGTCCGCTCACCCACCCTCCCAGTCGCGCACACGCACGTCATACACACCCACACAGCGCACACACGACAAAACGTGGCAGACTCACTGTTTGTCATTTGCATTGGCCGCATAAGACTTGTCCAGGCCAACCAGTTGCCTGCTTGTCGTGGGTTTCGTGCTTTATCGAGCAAGGAGCAGCAACACAAGCTATGGAGGATTTCCTTCCCAAAAGCAGTCGCTGGCCTGTATAAGCTGGCTGGCCCGGGGAATCCTCTAATCTTTGACTTCTTTTCGTTGGGCTGCCGCTCCCACAATGCCTGGGTTTAGGGGGTAGAGGTCCATGTTTCTGCAGGACCGCCCATTTTGTCAGAGGGACAAAATCACGGACTGTCTGTCCACCACAGATATTTTTCAAGGAGCCCGCGACAATCATTCACTACACGACTTTGTTGAATTGTTGTTTTCGTTTTTCAACGTACATGCACAAATCAAAACGGCTGGTATCCAAGAGGTCTCAAAATATCACAACTCACCAAATGTCCTTGACTGTTCCATGTCCACACAACGCGGACCAAGGTAGGGCGTCAGCCTGGAGGAATCCAGTGGAATCCGCTTTGGCTTGATCTCATAGGCCGGTCCACGGGTTTGGTTTGTCCCCACGTCGTTTACGAGGGAATCCAGGGGTTAGCAATTTGCGCAACCCACATGTGGCCACAGACAGGGTTCACCTAAATCGGAAACCGTGTGTTCTCAAGACGCTGGCTATAGGGGTTTTCTGCAAATACTGTGGATGGACGTTATCTTGCACCACGAAATGAAACCATGGTTGAAGCCAATGTTTGTTGGTATTTACGGGCGAATTATGATTCCAGGGCTTTCTGTCCATCCACAGCACGACGCATTGCCGTTGCAGAGATGCACACTGTAAATCCTGACCTTGCAGTCCGAAGCCTCATTCGGCCGCTGCAAACCGCCCCAGCTGCCCCAACTCAGGGAGGGCGGCCGGTTTTTCCCTTTTGCGAGAAAAACCAGCGCTTTTTTGTTAGCTTGTTGCTTTCCGGGGCCCAGGGCTGTGAGTGACAAGATGTGCGCGCAGTGCGCGCAAGGCGGATTGCAGTTTACACCTTTTAACTTCAAACGTGTTGGAAAGACCATTCCAGTGGTAAATCAAGAGTTTGGACTTTGTCAGGAAGTGAGCTCTAATATGCTATGCAATGTGACAAGCTATATGCACACATACATCCCGCATGCATGCAAACACCACTGCGCACAACATCACAATGCACAAAGAAGTTGAAGAACACACCGTACAATGCAGTTCTCAGCACATGAACTGCAAGAGACATCTCAGTGGATCCTGCATTATTCGGGGTGTTGCCTGCTGGGAATACTGACCGCCATTTGGAATATGGTAGCCTTCTGGTTTCTGATGCATTTCAATGTGTCGGGGGAGAGCACTTACGAAGATGGCATCACCACATACCACCTCCGTCAAGTGACAGCCCCTTGACAAATGTGCGCGTGCCAGGCTTTGCTGTGACTGAGAGCCCGGACGCGCAGCATTGGGGTAAGACTCCAGAAGGCGCGGCTTGGGGGAACGGCCAGACAGCCACAGGGTGCTTGCGTTCGCTTGTGCTCGTTGGCTCGTGCTTGTCATGCAGTAAGTCTTCAGAGGTTGGTAGAAAGCCATCCATCCTTTAACCTCGGCATGGGCAAATTGCAGCGCGCTCACCTAGGGTTTACTCAAAATGGTGGGTTCCTTCTGTATTTCTTCCCGATTCCAGGTTTCCTGCCTCCCGATTGAGCCAAACTTCATTCTGATTCGCGGTGTCTCACACTTCGCTGGCTGCACAAATTGCAGCGGGGGCCGAAACGATTAAAGTCCTATACTTTGGGATTCCTGAGCACCACTGCGAGTTGTAGCAATTTGCCCAGAACTGAGCTGCGCATTAGTGTGTGTGTGTGTGTGTGTTTGTGTGCGTTCAAGTTCGAGACCATTCCACATGCCGACTTTCCAGCAGCATTGCGCAGAGGCAGCTTACCATGACAACGTGTCTATTCGAAGGTTCCCTGGACCCAGGTTTTTGCCATTTTTGGAGCCGACCCGAGAATTATGTTCTCCACAGGTCACGTTTGCTCAAACGGGCCGGGTTTCGAGACGCCGAGGCACGAAGCACTATTTCCAGGCCCTCGAGAAGGCCTCCTGGTCACTGTTCCCCAGAAATCTGAAAGACGACACGGAGAGTTTCACCGAGAAGAACGAGGAGGGGGATTCGGTTGAATGGCCGCGTCTTTTGTGTAAAATGTGGTAGGATTTAAGGCTTTCATGAAAAAGCTGGCGTAAGGTACACCCAAGGGATGGGCCAGCGAGCCGGGGTCCATGCGGGGCGAAATGCGGAAGGTAAGCTCAAGATTGCGCTCAGTTGTACATGGCCGGAGAACGACACCAAAGTTGTTTGGTCGCTTTGGACAAGTGGGTCGTTTGCAGTTGTTGTGTTTTTTGGCACGAGCCCGGACATGAAGACGTGGCGCATGTTTGTTTTAGGCGGACATGCCATACATGAAGGTGTGGGGTGAAGCGCGTTTCCTGGACACTGCTTGTTGCCTTACACCTTGTGCATGCGGGCAATGCATTGGTTTCGCACTATCATTTGACATTTATAGTTGACAACGATTTGCGGGCGTTGCGGGTTGTTGCACTTGTCTTGCTCTGTTGGCGTCCAAAAGAGCACGGAACATGTGTCATCAGCAAGCAGTAACAGGGTAAAACCGTGTCTCACTGACCATTGCTGCATGCAAAGGATGTTCCGTGTCGTTGATTGCAAATATGGGACGGATGGCAATATGATTGAATTGTTGAACTACCAGTACATCCTAAAACTTGTAGATTTAGTCATTTTAGTCGTTGGGCAGGAAAGAGGCACAAAGGCAGGACAACCAACAAGTCGACCAACACTACCACATGTTCTGTCGTCGAATGAAGTTATTGTCCCTTATGCCCGACGATTCTAAGATCGGGGCGCAGTCAAACCCAATTGGCGACAAGGTGAACATCAGGAAGACCCATCCAGGATGCTCCAAAAGTGTGGCAAGCTCCTGTAGCTCAGGGGTGAATGAATGTGTTCTATTTCTACACAATTGTTGTCTTCAATACTTTGTGTGCGGTTGTGTTCTTTGACCAATGGGCAACCCTTCCTGAACGATACGGCATCCTTGGCCGAGCAGGTCCTGTGGGAACTGCTTGGGCTGTATGCTTGAGACTTGACCATCAGGTTTGTGAGAATTACAAAAATCAACGCCATAAGGATTGAGTAAGATGCCTTTGGTAGCCCTACATATTGACCCAGATGGCCAGTGGCAGGTATTTGGACGTTCCGGTCAAGGTGTCTTGGAGGGCACTCCCAAACTGGAGTTCGGTGTTCCTTTTCTCACTTCCTGCGTTCCTGTACTCACTTGTGGAAAGACCATTTTAGTTTTGAACAAAAATGGCTGTTTTTTGGCCAATCCACTTGATCCCATCCGGTTCGTAAGCTTTTCAGGTTTCTAAATTTGCTTAGTGTTTGCTTGGTGGTTCCCAGCCATCCGGTTCCTTAGGTTTTTTGTAAGGTTGTTAGTTGGTTTAGTGGTTTCCACAAGACCACAAGCTGTTGTTTGTTCGCAGAAAATATGTTTGGCTTCAAGTCATCCCATGGGCACAGAGCGTCAGCCAAGTGGCCGTGAGCTCCCAGCTCGACATTTCGGCCCTCTTGGAGTCGATGAAGCAACTTGTCTGAGGGTAAAGTGCAAACCCAACGAAGCTCCAAGCCAATCCTCTATCATATCTACCTTATGAATACAATGAAAACAAAAGAGCCGACGTATATATCAAGTAGTTCTGTGTCCTGCAGGTCATTCAATCGCGACGTGCAAGATTCGAAGTAGCAACCATACCTTGGTGCAGCCCATTCTTGCTTCTTGCTGCAGGAGTTGGCGGCTGTGCTTCGCCGAGGGTACAAAAAGCTTTTGCAAGAGGCCTTGGACGGCTTGAAAACGCGCCTTTCGGGCTGATGACTCGTGCACGACCTCAAAGCGCCGCTTCCGGGCTGAGTCGACATGTTTGGCTGGCCTTGGCCTCTGCAGACAGTGTGCTCTCGGCGAGTTCGGTCTGATGCTTGGGAATTGTGTCACTGACAGATGTAAGAGCCTGTTGTGTATCTCAACATTTGGGAGCTCGGTATCCTTTGGATTGGCACAATTCACAAGATGGATCTGAACGAAGTGCCTGGTCCATGAATGAGGACCCAGTGGCGTCACACGGACCGAAAGCTGCCAACAAAGTCATTGACGACTTAGCTTGAGCCCAATTAATGTGCGGACATGTGTGTATAGCAAGCAAGGCTTCTGGGGCCAATTTGGCAGTTTCTTTGACTCCGTGCAATGGCCCAGAGCTTCGGTGAACATGGAAGCCAATTCATTTCTCAGTTGCCCCAAGCTGATCTTGTACCGTTTTTGTTGCCCTGATTTGGTTCGACGTTAGTTAAGATCCAAAAGGTCATCGTTTTATTTCCCAGGTCTTTTGAATTTGGGCAAATGGCATTTGGAACATGGAGGATTGAATGGGATTCACGAAATATCCACGAAAAAGCAATGCTTTGCCATGTTCCTTCCGGACGAAGTAATTCTGGCCGTAGCTCACATAGTTGTGGCCGCAGCCTCTACCTTTCTCCGACCTGCACGTGCGGCGCTTGCGCAGCTTGGCGCAGCATCCGGAAGCTGAGTATCGCTTTGGCAGGTCATCGATCCAACTTGGAAAACCATACATTTGCATTGTCCTCTCGTGTCAGTCTGCTTAAATGGCAGAATGGTTTCTTAGTTGAGCCCGGAAATGATGGGTTGCTTCCCAGAAACCTTTGTTTCAAACGAAGTTGCTCAGCTCGGGGTCTGAAGTCATGTGCCCTTTGCTCGTATCTGTTTTAACGGCGAAACCTCTGTGAAGTCGCTGCTGCGACTCTGTACACACAGTCCTTTGTCCTGGGACATTGCGGAAGCTTACGACACACTGTGGTATGAGCGTGAATGACTGTGCTGTGGTTTGAGCGTGAATGACTGTGCAGGCAGCTATCTAGGCTTCGTTAACAAGCATTCAGCCCTATACTCACAGCCATTATCGACAGCAGGATGGCTGCTCGCATTGCAGCGATCGCATCACATTGGCGAAGAACCATTGCATTGGGAACTCATTTGCGCGGTCAGTTCCAATTGCGGCTGATGACGTGCGAGGGCTGTGTGCTAGCCCTAATTTTTACTTCATGCGACCCGGGCGTAATGCATATTATTCAACGAAAAAGGGCAGCTGCGTGTGTCATCAAGAACCATCAGCTTCCCTCTAATTGGTGGTTTGGATTGTTTTTTTTTGTTTTGGGTCTTCTACACGAACCATGGGTTCCAATCCCACACCAAGCATATCCAATCCGCCTGTTAGGAGGCAACTGGGAGGCAATCACTGGCATCCCACTTTCCCCAAGTTTGAGCGCTCATTTGTTGGTTACTTCTCTTTTAATGACAAAATGTTCACCCACCAGGAGGCAGGTTTTAGTCCTTGTTTCCAATACCGGGGGTTCCATTTGTGCCCATTTGTTGTGATTTTTGCCAAAAACTCGGGGGCCCCTGGGCTCGATGCTCGATCTGTAGGCGACGTTTGGGATCAGTTGGAGAAGGAGCTTCAGGCCTGGCTGACGGCGCGGGTTTTCGTTTTGCTTCAAACACCCGCCGGTTTTCCCGATGGTCATTCCATGTTCATCGGACCTTTGCATCAACCGCACCATGACTTGACTCAGTCGTAGTTGCCCCTTTCCTTTCCTTGGCAATTCTGGCGCGGCTCCTCGGAGCTTACCTGAGCGTTCGCTGCTCGTTTGCTTTTTCGTCTTGCCGCATTTTCTGCTTTGAAGTTTAGCCGTTGCAAGGGCGCCCTTTGCTCCCGCCAGGCTTCTGAGACCCAATGTTGTCCTCAGAACTGCAGGGAGGGGATTCCCTCACTGGGACAGTTTCACCCAAAAAAAAATAATCAACCAGACGTTCACGAGTTTGGCCATCAGACTCCAAATGCTTGGGGTCCCCTCAGAAAAAAAATACCTGGGTATATGTTTGCCGACGATTGGGAATTAACTTGAGGATGGATTCCCCTCATACGTTTGAGATGCGACGGCCTTTACATCCAGAGCCTGCACAAGCACAAGGTCGTGCATGAGAGTTCAGCTACTGACCACCTCCACTGATTGTTGTATGGAGAGCCGCGTTTTGGCACAAGCATAATAATGGTACATGCGTTTATCATGGTGTGAATATGTGGCTCATCTGACTAACTTTAGAGCGTCCGGCTCAGTCCGCCGACATTGTCCTCTCCCTTTTCTCCTTCTTCCTCTCTCCCTTGTCTCTTTCGTGTGTTCTGTCGTCCTCTCTCCCTCCCTTTGCTCCCCATCCTCCCCATCCCCCCAAGCCTCTCTCTCCTCAGTCTCCCTCTCTCTGTCTCTGTCTGTCTCTCTCTATCTCTCTCTCTGTCTGTTTGTCTCTCTCTCTCTCTCTGTTTTTCTTTGTCTTTCTGTCTCCCTGTCTCCTTCCTGTCCACGCCCCTTTACAGAAAAAGGGTACCCTAATTCTAACCTCTCTACTGGAGGACCTAGTCTATCTCTCTCTCTCTCTCTCTTTATTTCTCGCTCTTTCTCTCTGTCTCTCTCTCTCTCTCTGTCTTTCTGTGTCTCTCTTTCTCTCTCTCTTTCTCTCTCTCTCTCTCTCTCTGTCTGTCTCTTTCTCTGTCTCTTTCTCTGACTCTGGCTCTGTCTCTCTCTGTCTCTCTTTCTCTCTCTCTCTCTGTTTCTCTCTCTCTCTCTCTTTCTCTCTCTCCCGCTCTCTCCCTCTCTCGCTCTCTCTGCATTGCAGCGTCACGTCCCCCCTGAGTTGCCTCGATATCCGGGCACTGCCCCTTCATGACCCTGAACTGTCATCTCACTACTGGCTTTCCCCTTGATTTCCCCTTCATGTCCTTTTCACGTTTCCCATGATGTCCTGGTCATGTCCCTTCCATTCCTTTCAACTCCCCCTTCATGTCCCTGACATTTTATCGGTATGTCCGCGTCATTTTCCATGTATGTCCCGTTCTTTCGTTGCGAGTCATGTTCCCTACATCTCCCGTCGTGCCGATTGGTTTTATTGTGCTTTGTTTCCCTGTCATTCCCCCTGCACCTTGTTTTCATTTCTGTCCCTGTCATGTCCCTTTCAGTTCCCCTTTGTTTCCCTTTCATTTCCCGTTGCCTTCCTGACATGTCGACTTCCTATTTCCTTTGCACTTCCTTGCAGTTCCGCTTTGCTCCCCAGTATTTCCTTCAAAAACACACGGTTTTCGAGCATGTTCGCAAAGAGGACGTCCAAAAACAGAGTTTTTCCAGATTTTCGGCAAAAGGAAGCAGGAAACCCAAACCAGCAAAAAGGCGGCAGGGGGAATCGAGCCTGGGACCCCTGTTTTGCGACACCTCTTCGAAGACTACGTTTAGTGGAACGTCATCAAATCACCGCGCGGTACGTGGGGGACCCCCCCCGCCCCCCTGCGTATCAGACGTCGGGCGGGGGTTGGGGGGGGGGTTATCCTCTATCCTCTCTTAGGTGTCCGACACGCCGAGCAATGTCGGCGGATAACATGAATACCAGTAGAGCCGGCGAAGAAGGTGGGCGGAAGTTTCAAAAATATAAAAACTATAGTTCTCTTTCGATTTCTTTTCTTGACTCTTTTTCTCCGTCATTCTTCCTTTCTTCCTTTCTTTCCTTCCTTCCTCCCTTCTTTCCTTCTTTCTATTTGTCTTTTCTTTCTTTCTTTTGTTTGCTTGTCTATCTGTCTTTCTCTACCTATCTATACCGAACTACCTATCTATCTATCTCTCGTGTTATCTATCTATCTGCTTATCTATCTATCTATCTCTTTATCTATCTTCTCTATATATCTCTCTATCTCTGTATCTATAGATCTACCTATCTCTCTATCTCTCTATCTATCCATCTCTCTATATCCCTCTATCTCTGTCTCTCTCTTTCTCTATCTGTCTATCTATCTATCTCTCTATCTCTCTTTCTTTCTATCTATTTATCTCTCTATCTCTTTCTCTTTCTCTATTTATCTATCTATCTATCTATCGATTTATCTATTTATCTATCTATCTATCTATCTGTCCATCTGTCTCTCTATCTGTCAATCTCTTTATCTATCTATCTCTATATCTCTCTATGTATCCCTCTGTCTACCTATCTATCTATCTCTCTCTCTCTATCTCATTCTCTCTACCTATCTATCTATCTACCTCTCTATCTATCTATCGATCTATCTATCTATCGATCTATCTATCTATCTATCTAATTATTTATGTATCTCTCTCTATCACTGTTTCTATCTAGTTGTCTACCTCTCTATCTATCTATCTGTCTATCTATCTATCTGTCTGTTTATCGTTTATCTATCTTTTTATTTTTCTCTCTATCCATCTATTTTTTTAGTTTATATATTTTTTTTATCTCTCTCTCTCTCTATCTCTCTCTCTCTCTCTATCTATCTACCTCTCTCTATCTATCTATCTATCTATCTAACTATCTATCTCTCTACCTCTTTATCTCTCTTTCTCTCTGTCTATTTATCTATCTATCTTGCTCTCTCTCTCTCTCTTTTTCTCTCTCTATCTATCTATCTATCTATCTCTTTCTTTATTTCTTTCTATCTTGACTTCGCGTACTACTTTCGTACTTAAAAGTTGCGATTTTCGAGCGCGCCACACTCCCGCATGTTGTAGCTCTTGTGTCCACTCTTCCGCGGGTCATTGGGGCACGTCCTTCATATGCGAGTACACATTGTAGAAGTAGAGCCATCTTCGGGGCGGCCATGTGGCCCCTGGGAAGGCATTTATGGTTCGGTTTTCCCTTTTATGTGGAAAACCCGATACATGGATTTTGGGGACGCTCAACCCCACTCCCCGTCAAAGTGGGGGGATATTGCCAGGTAATTACCGGCGTTTTATATGCAATCTGTCGTTACTGTGTCAGTGCGTTGCCGGGCGCGAACTTAAGGAGCCTTCATTCTGGTCGGCTTGCATGTTTTGTGCTTTGGCAACATGCCGCTACATGGTCCAAGCGCTTCTTTCTGTTCAGGCGCCGTTGGATCCAGCAGCGCCGCTGCCTGTGAGAGCAGAGCACACGGACAAGGCTCCTAATGTTGGGGTCGGTGAACATCGGGGTTTCGGGCAGTACGAGGAAGCTTTCACTTGGTTTCCGCAAAACTTTGAATTAGTTGTGAGCGGGGTGGAATAAATGGTTGATGCGTTCTGATGCGTTTCTGGCGCTTTACCCACACGTGTTCACCAAATTGGCAGAGACGAAACCTCGATAGATCAATTTATTGTGCCACATCGCACGACATCGTAATGTTGAAATCGCACTAACAACCCCCTTCCCTGAGAAAATCTAAAAGGTCTTATGGGCTCCGCAAAAAAGATTGGACACTGAAAAAATATTTAGTATTGGGCAATACTACTTTAGTATTGGGCAATACTACTTTGAATTGGGCGATGCTATTTTTGAATTGGGCAACTACTTTGAATTGGGCAATACTACTGTTGAACTTGGAATGAGGATCCCAGATTTCCAGATGAACTCCAACAGGAGCTTCATGTCACATGTCAGCAGGGTTTAGGTGAGAAGCGTGGACAAAAATGAGACCAGCTGCATCACTAAGGATTCTTGGAGATTTGATTTTTTTTTGGGTGGGGCTTCCTGAATTTGGGGTCTTTTGTGGGAGGCTGGTTTAATTCCATGTTGTTTTGGTGTTTTATGTTTATTTCCAGTTTTTCAAGTTGTGTAGTATTGGGGGGTCCTGCCACGGGTATATTAATCCGATGTTGACATTAGCACACGGCGGCATGGGGCTCCTGAGACGGGAGGCACAAACGCTAATTACGCAGATGACCAGCTCCAAATGCCAGGTAAAAAGCATGCAGGGATTAGGCTGATTAGGCAAAGTGGATATCGGATGTCCGGAAGTAAGCATCAGACAGACATGCTGCCCAACAAAGAACGGGTTGCTCCCCTCTCTTCTTCTTTTGGCCGCTTTCGGCTTCATGTGCTTGAGGAGACAGCTGCAGAAGCGGAGGAGGCAGATCCGCGGTTCGCGAAAGTCATTGTGTGATCTCTTTTTGTGATCTTTGTGTGTGTGTGTGCGTGTGTGTTTGTGTGTTTGTGTCTGTGTTTGTCCTGTAATCATGTTATGAGTTGTAGATGGGCAGTTAAAGCGTCAGGAGGCTGGCTCCCACTCCAACTCATTCACTATGCAAGCAAGACCCGAAACCGTTTCAGAGGCTGCCGCACGCCAACAAAACCAAACACAGCCCGTCAGTTTGGCTGCCGTGCGCGCTTCCGCGACCAAGCCAGAAACGTGAGTTAGTTGCTCGGCGGTTGTACAGGGAAGATCAGGCATCATCATTCGCAAACAAGTTAGTGGATCCAGCACGGGCTTCTGGGCAGCCCGATTTGCAACACCCCCGTAGAGCTTGTGTCACACCTGTTGGCTTGACTTGAGGTAATTCCTGGGTCTCATTTGCCCACATGTACCATTCGTGAACGGCGGTAGAGCAAGTGCACATTCGCAGACCGTGCGCAACTGCTCCTTGTTACTTGCTGGTGCTCCGCATTGAAGTGGGAATGATTCTGGGGTTCCGCTTAAAGGAAACCACAAGGGATGGTTTGTAAGGGTTATTGCCTCATTGACTGCTGAGCACTGGCAAGATTATTCATTGCACTTCTCAGTTGCCAAGAAGTTCATCTAGATGATGCTTGAAGAGGCCTCAAGGTCGGGATTCGATTGGGATGCGCTAGCATGCAAGGGTTCTCCACATGGTCAACCTGCAAATCGTGACAAAGAGTCAGGCACAGACTCGCACTTTCAGTTTGGCCAGGTCAGCGATGATGAGTGGGGCATCCATTGGGAGAAAGGCAGGATGACTCCCGGCAATCGGATACAAGAAAGTCAAGCCTTCTCCATGCGTGATGGGGCGGATCTGTCATTCAACTTATGGCAACAGTGACCTCACAGATCGGGCGGGGACAGTACTTGTTGGTTTTCTGAGGGTGCCCTTTTTTTGGGGATGGTTTCGGCGTTTTGCATTGCTGACAAGAATCTCCCATCTAGCACCGTGTTTTGCGAGCTTCTTCCCGGAAGGTTTGCACTCCGTCTATCTGGGGCGAGTGCGCTTTTGTGCGCTTTTGCGTGTTTTTCTCGCGGGCTCCGCACACTGATTGCCCAGTCCAACAGAGGTCACCTTCGAAAGATAAGGCGGCAGAGAGGCTCCCACCCAAGCAACAAGCAAACCAACTTAAGCAGCCACTGGCCAGGTTCAACTTGGCCTTCACTGTACCAAAAGAGTTCCCGCCATTTTGCTGGTGCAAAATAGGGCTTCTCACAAGGTTCATAGGCATCCTCTGTTTGATGCTCAGCTGAGCTGCGCCCTCATGATCCACCAGGCTCAACTTTTGTTTCGGCACGCGAGGACAGGACTCAAAGCAGACCGAGGAAGTCCTAGACGAGATCCAGCGAAAGGCTGTGACGGACTAAGCGCAAAGTGTGTCTCTAAGAAAGTGGGTGTGCACAGGGAGAAAGGTTACTCCCAGCACCTCAGTTTGCCATCCTTTTGGCTTTCCGGACACAACCCGATGCACAGGGCTTGGGGTGATTGATTTGGAGTCAGGGCTTGCTGCGCATGGAGCCACCACCTGTGATCGCGATTTTGCCTGAATGGTGCATGTTCCAGCCGGCAGCAATACTTGAGGGCTTAGTAATATGTGGAGGGTACCCCATGGGCAGCGGCGCCTGGACTCTCAGTCACCCGGCCGGCATCGGCATCCCGGCCGGCATCAGCCATGGTACCCGGAGCACCCTCTAAGGTTTCAGCAATTCCTAACCCGAGAAACCAATTGGAAAAGGACACCCTCGCAAGCACACACCCACACAGCCACACACACATGCATATGTTGTGTCCAAGCAACATTGCCGTGCCCATCGTCCCAGTGCTGCAAGAACCGTAGCGACCTCATGGCGGCGCAAGGTCTCACGGTCAACATGATGTGGCATGCTGAATCACACAGCCGAGGATTCCTTTTACTTCGTCACAAGATTCCAAGAACAATGGACTCCTATTCCAGGCTGAACGCTGCTGAAAGGAGCTGGAGGGGGGCAGTGCGACAGTCACTGGATTTGTTCTTTTGTTAAGGTGCCCTTTGCACCTTGGTTCAAAGGGAAATACAAAGAAACACTAAGTTCTCGCCATGCCTGGTCTGTGGTGTGACCGAATCGCCCCAGAGCGAGTTTTTGAAAACACATGTTGCATGGCCTTTTCTTTACACCCACAAAAGGTTGAATGACCTTTTGCTCGTGCTTGGAGCAAGGCAGTTTATAGTTACCCTCTAACAAGGAACTTGACTGAGAGGTTCTGGAAGACTCGCCTATACTAGCCTCCTTGCAAAGGGTCTCTTTGATGGGTTCCATCTTGACAGCTCCCGTGCCGATGCCGATAGAGACTACCCTAAGGCTGCTGCGGCCAAACAAGAGCCGGGCTGGGAGAAGTCGACCTGGGCTCAGCCGAGGGATCCGATGTTGATAGGCAACCACCTCATGGTTGGTGGTTCATCTGCATTCCCAAATTGATGTTTTTCCACCAACCATCATCACTTTGTTGATTGGTGTCCACCTTTGTTTCCCCACCTCTTGGTTTTCCCACCTCATCATTCCTGGTTCCCACCTGGAATTCCCAAATCGATGTTTTCCAAAGGTCAGGGAACCATGACATTCGGTTGGCTCCTTCAACTGTTTGGTTGTCTTTGGCTTCAAGAAACCATCCAGCGGTCTGCAAATTTGGCCACCAAATGCCTCGGATGCGGTTGGTGGGGGTCACTAATCTTTGGAACTGAAAGAAACAAGCGGCGTATAACGACTCACATGGCTGAAAATGGGTATGTGCCAATATAAGATGGGGGAAACCCCAAAATGGTGGTTGACCTTTTGGTGCCCCTTTACACCAGCTTGAAAGGGTACCCCTGAATGCAAATTGCTATGCAAGGTACAGGTCTCCAACCCCCGCGGCCCTCTTTCGAAACAACCAAGAATACTTTCGACTTGCAGCGAAATTTGCAAGCGAGCAAATGAAGCAATCGCTGGCAATTCACAGCAGTCGCAGGATGGGACGGAGGTTGGGAATCGGTGCTTAAAGGCTGTCTATGATGACTCCACCGCAACAGTCATCGTGGGGCCTGGGGGGGACGGAGCCCAAATAAGGCATTATCAAGTGCTTAGTAAGGCCTTGTTTGGGCCTCCCCCCTCACCTCCTCCCCCCCAAACTCCCATGAAGTCAATGCTGGCTATTTTCGATAAAAAAGGGGGAGCAATTTGCTGAGAAGCCGTAGCTCTTTTTGTCCTTTTTGGGGCCCGGCCTTCTCAACTGTTTCTTAAGCCTCCATTTTGCCTTTCAGTTTATGCGCCCACAAACAGATTGGTGCCTCACATGTCGGCTATATTATATATATACATATTAATATAGTATACCTTGCTTGCAGGTATGGGGCATGCAGCTTGGGCCCACACAGAGGGACACCACTAAAAGTACGCCGCTGGTGACGCCGCCAACCGACAATGCTTTCAGGCTGGTTCTCTTTTGCATTGGGCCCGAAAGGGGAATATTTTTTTTCCTACGAGCCGTGGCTTTCGGGGAGTGGTTTGACTCGGGAGTGCCTTGGCTTGAACACCTGTGAGGGAGAGGCCGCCGAAGCAGGAGGACGACGGGGATTGGGAATCCAAGGCCGGGTGGCCGGCCACGTCTTTGGCTGTTCCCAGCCAGGTTTTGGGGTTTTAGCTTTTTGGGTGCTTAGGGTTTGGTTGGGTTTCCATGTAAGCTTCAGGTACTTCTGGCAGGGGATGTGACAGCCCAGTTGTACCCCTGAAAGTGATTGATTGGAGAGGAACTCCATACTCATTCATCAATGTTTCGCCTTGAACCTGATTGACTGGGGGAGGTGTCGCAATCAGCAAACAAGCATCGACGCGTGGCATTCAATGGTAAAGCGGAGATACCACATAGATCAACCACGCGCGAAGCATGAACCGACCATACCAGACATCATCAATATTGCAATCTGTCCCTAGTGATCTCACAAACGAGTTGTGCCATGGCCAAAGCACGCATGTTCTCGAGGTAAATGGAAATGGTCGGTTAAAGCTAGCATTTGCTGTCAGAAGTTCGGAAGCTGTTATGCGAATCCTCAGGGAGGGAAACATGAATATGACCAGCACAAGAGTTTGCGACCGAGGCAAATGTACAATGCGAATAAACCTATCACAAACGGCCGTACCTGATTGGCTTGTTCCACATCTCTTTAACCGGAATATATCCAGCCTCTTTATACTGGCATGGAACCAAATGAAGCAGAAAACTTGTCCAAACCAACAGTCTTCCCTGGGGCTGGTAGCTGCTGTCAGAGATTTTGAGGCAAGTCGGAAGTATGCCCTGGACAAATGGCCGTACCGCATGTTACTTTGGTGATTTGATCGAAACGGGAGTAAGCCGAAGCAAAACACGAGTGGGGGGGGGACACATTTGCTTTGTCAGGTGCATTTCCAGGATCTTCATGTCGGCTAGACAGCTGAGACGACTGAGATTTTACTGTAATTTTCTACGGATGAATTTTCATAAACGGCCCCTGGGTTTGTCAAGCAAATGAGCTTGGGTTGAACCTTTTGGTGAACTAGTTCTTTGTGCCTTAGCGAGACGCCGTTGGGCCACGCCGCTTTTCTTCTGCTGGCGTGTTTGGGATGCCCCCGCGTCTCATGTCTTTGGACCAGGCTTGACTTTGGACACCGAGCCCGTCTCCTTTCCTGAGCAACCCTTGGGTGTAGCTTCGGGAAAGACGACCCTTCGTCTTTCCGAAAGACGAAGGGTCCCTGGACAATGGCGTGGTTCCGGTTTGGTCAACGGCCAAGTCTGCAGACTGCCCCTGAATTTTTACTTGAAATCCCTTGTGGTCCTTTCTGAGCAAGCCTGAACTGTGTCTTGGCCAAAGGAGGGTTTGTCTGTAAAGCTTCCAGAATGGCTGGTTTGCCTTTGGCTCCCTTGTAAACCCAAAACCGACTCGACTCGCTCACTTGCCCCAGGCAGAATGGGATGCGGGCGAGTATGACACCGGGCAAGCACACCTGGCGCAATTGCAAGTTGTGAGCGCATGGGTATGGCAACATGGCTGGCCTTTGGTGTGACCCCAAAGGCCCCAAAGCACCTCGTGGCGACAAACGTTTTGTCCCAAAGCCCACAAAAGGCAGAAGGACTTTTGCTCGGGTGGGAAGAGCAACCCAAGCAAAACAAATGGTTTGCACCCTTCCGAGGGTGCTGCTTGAAAAAGAAAGCTCGACTTGACAGTTGCAGGGCTCAATGTTTCGAGACGTAGCCGGCGAAGGTCGAGTTTGTGAAAAACATGGAGAAGCCAAAGCGGCGCACAACGCGGTTGTTGATGATCCTTGTTGCCTTGTGTGGATATGGAATATTGCCTCGGAGAAAGCCCGCTGAGCAACTATGGTTCGAACATATCCCATCCTTGAATGTCACATTTCGTGCAGACAGAATCTGACAAGGGCTATGAGATGCACACAAAGGCGGTGTGTATACAGCATTTTTTGTTTGGCCCCCCCTCCCCCGGTTCGATCGGTTGCATTTCGCCCGCACTTGATCTCCGCGTGCACTTTGCTTCCCAACTGTTTGCCAGGATAAGAAAAAGAAGAAGGAGACCTGGGAGCCCGATGAAACATGGAGTGGGGGGCCCAATTGCTGTGGTTGTAAACGAGCCCCTGGACATTGCTCTTGTCCAGTGACGCCTGTGGTTCTTTCCTTCAACATTTCAAGCAGTTACTTCGAATCATGGCAACTATTCTGCCCGTAAACCCTCCCCCTTTTCGGAGAGCCCTTAGCAAGCTTACCAAGATCGGGATTAGCTTGCTGAGATTAGCGCCCTCAGGAGGCCCTACAGAGGCGCTACCGAGCACATGCAAAACCGCGTTTTGAGGCCCTACCGGGTGCTAAGCGAGAGTCGAGCGCTACTACGACCTTTGTAGTGGTTTAGTACAGTAGTGCCTTCAGATGGGGAGAGGGAGGGTTTAGGGGGGGGGAGCAGATTCATGACTGAGGGATTACCAAACCAAACCAAGTCAAATGCTCTTGTTGTTTGAAGTCGCTCAGGCGCTGACTTTAAAGGCCGCATTACGTGACCAAACGAGCCCAATTTTGGCTAGCGATCAGCTTCTACTAAGTGTCTACTGCGTGATGCGAAAGCGAAGCAAAGGACTTGACAAGCAGTTTGCCAAGCCTTGCTGTGTAGTCGAAGCGGTGCACTACGCAAATCGACCGACGGGCGGCGCCTGCAAAGGTTCGCAAGGAAAGTGAATAGGCACAAGGCCATCGTTCGAAGGCAATAGCCTCAGGCTTCGGACTGCCGCCAGGCCAGGAATGCCGCGACAGCCCGAAGAGCGCAGGAGGGACAGTCTGCTGTGCGAGACAGACAGATGTGACACAGCTGTGACAGAGCCTGAGCCAGACAGATGTGACCCCTGGCTCTGGCTGCCCTGTCCCGCTCACTGGCGGGAGGGTCAGGCTTTGGACTGTCACGAGCTGATGTTCAAATCTGTTTGTCAGGATCTGTCGCGGCAGTCTGTCGCAAGGTCTGTCACATCTGTCTGTTGCAGCGGTCTGTCACAGGCTTTGTTGGCAGGCGGGCAGCTTGTGGCGGCCGAATGTCGCTCAAACCCTAACAACCACAAACCTGTCAGGTAGCTAACACTTTACGTGATCGGAAGAGGAATTCCATATATTTTTTAGGGGCTCAACGCTTTGGCTTCCTTTGTGCCTCTTGTTTGCGCCGCAGGATTACACCCCTCGCAAGAAAGCAAGGAAGCGGACGGAGAATGGTTCCTTTTGACCTCTTCATGACTTCTGTCGATTTGTGGGTAGCAGTATAAGTGCAAAACAAGACACGCTCACAGGTCGCCCATCTTGTTGCTCCCTCACCGAGAGCCTGAGGCGAGTGGGCCTCCAACTCCAAAGAGGCCTTGGCGGCGGAGTCCATCGTGTGGCCCGGCGGAGTCGGGACGTGTCAAGCCTCAAATGTTTTTTTTTTTTTTTTGTGTGTGTGTGTGTGTGTGTTGCAGCGCGTGCGTGTGCGTGTGGGTGTGTGTGCGTGTGTGTGGGTGTGTTTTTGTCGGTACGGTGTTTGGGGTGGTTTTCAAGAGAACCAAGAGATAAATTGGGGTCCCCTTCTTTTTGGATTTATCTCGATGACCCTACTAAGCAGAGGAACCCACTACAACAGAGAACCGAAGTAGTTTTACTTGGACATACTTGGACCCTTTGGTGGGCATCACTTTGATGGGGATTCATGCCCTCCACTTTTGAGGCGATGCCTTGTGAGCAAAGCATGGCCAAATATTTTTGGGGCTTGGTGCTACCAGCAGTGCCTACCAAAGTGGCCACCACACGAAGTTACCATGCCTATGGTAGGGTTGTGGGGTGCTATTCAACCAAATGGCCTGGAAGAATGAGTCATCATGTAGCCATTTAATTCATATTGTCACCCTCCCCCCCCGTGGACATGGCACCTGACATGGGGTCTCTTCAAGAGAAAACCGTTTTTCTTGGCAACCTCCACGGGTGCTTTTTGTTTGCAGGAGGCAAGATAACGATTGGAACTCAGTCGGTAGGCGGGTGTGAAGGATGCCCACTAAAATTAGAAGGTACCCATGGAAAATCATCACAACTGGAAACTGCATCAGCCATTTGAGGAGCTATGTTGGAAATGCTTGGGAATCAAGGCAACATCATGCTGTTTGGTGGAACATATTTCTGTCGGACTTTGGCTCCGAACTCGTTCCTCGGCTTCCCGATGATTGAGATATCGCGGAACATGGTGGCCTTGGCTTCTGGATGCTGTTTTTGGATTCAGAGGGATCTGCCTGCGACTACTCATTTCATTTTTCTTATAGCTCTTGTCACGAAATCCACACCACACCTTTGTTTGTGTCGCTCCCAGCTGCATACAGCGGACGCCCGAAGTATTGCAAGAAGGGGAACAATGGAAACCCTGTAAATTGCGCAATGCTTTCAGGGTTTTTTGTGACTGGATTGGTTGATTCACTTGCAATATTTAGGGCATCCATCTCTTCCCCACTTGAGCAGCGCCCAACGCCCCCGCATGGGCTTTATAGTGGCTTCTTCTACCTGAGGCGATTCTAAAAATAAGACATGGAGTTTCCCGTTTTCCCCTCGTTGTTTCTTCTACTGGGGGTTGTTGCATGTATTTTTGTTTAGACTGAGCCTATTAAATAGTAAGGGCTACAGAACGCGGCCAAGCTGAGGCGAAAGATCCGTGGGCGGTCGGTGGAGCCCGGGCCTTGGAGACCGACACATCTTGACTTACTCCACAGAACCTGGAGCCCATGAGAAACCCCAAAAACCATGATGGAAGCTCAAACCCCCTGGTGGGCCGGGTTTCCATGCTGATCAGCAAGCAGGTGGAGTAAACAACCTTTTGCCATTTGGCTCGGTTCACATTCGCACACTGTGGGTCCGGTTTGCTGGTTCTTGTCGCCCTTTGGGTTTCCGGCCATGTACGAACCGAGTCTGGCCAAGTTCGAATGAACGTTTTTTCTGGCTCCAAAAATGGGTGGCAATGCACTGCTGCACTCTCGCAGCATTCCCTGGAGTGCTTCATTTCAAAAGAAGGGCACCCAAATTTATTGTGGAAGCTTTCCCGGTCAATCGGTGGAATGACTATGTTTCAGTCCCGCCAAGGGCTTTTAGTTTTTAAGCTGGCTAGCTTGTTGCGATTTGCTCAAAAAGCAAGCTCGAGGATACCGCTGGATTTCATCGTGATCAGCGGGCAAACGGGCTGGAGCACGTACCGCGAGCAATGGAACTATGTGGACTTTTCTTCAAGCACAGCGAACAAGCAAAACCATCTTCCCCCCCTCTTTGCAACAGCCAACCTGCACAATTGTGTTTTGCTACTATGCTAAATTACAGTGCCCGACCTTCCCTGGAATCCAATGATGCATTACATATTTGTATTGAAACGAATACTTTAGGGCCAGCATTGTTGTATCAACTGAGAACCACGGAGATGAGCACGACTTTGGCCCACTGAGTGCTGCGCAATTGCAACAGGGATCGGTTCGCTTGCGCATGAGCAACTTATTTGCCAAACGTGTTATTAAGCATGGGTATACAGTAGCTGCAGCTATCAGCCGACACAGGGCCAACAAGCATTACATGCATCCAATGTTCAAAGCCCTAAGCAAAATGTCGAACATGGGAATCAACTGTCGTTTGACCTTCGCGGTGGACAATCCAACATTGCAAGATGCATGTGCGCAGCTGGGATTGCGACGTTTGGATTGAGATCTGTAACATGCCGAAGCAGGGCGGTTGAGGCTCAAGTGGCACCCACCCTCAAGTGCGTCACAATCAAAGCTCAACCATAAATGGGTGCAGCCGCCTTCTTATGTCTTTACATTCTGGTGGGGATCATAAGTAAGGTCGCTTTACCTCTAAGTGAGCTCGTGATCATTTTGAGCGGTATTAGCTTTTTGGGAGGGGCTTCTGTCAAACTTGAGTCACATGCAATCAATACCTGGTATTAAGATGGTCTACCTTGGGTTTTCCCTTCAGCGAACCAAAGGCTCCGAGCCGGAAACCAAAACGTCGCCCCGTGGCACTCAGGGTTGCTTGGGCCTTTCTGTGGCCTGGTCCGCAAAAAGTCCTTTACTCAGGTTGTGTGCCATGATTATAGTTAATATGACCTGATCTCGCCCACAGAGGCCACACATCCGCAGAAACAAGTCAGCCTTGAACTCGATCCCCCCACTAGAGTTTGAGGCTGAGTTTGGCTGAGTCTGGAGCTGGGTTGTTTCTGAGTTTACCTGAGTTGTTTGTGAGTTGTTCTTTTTAAAGTGTTTTTGAGTTTTGTCTCAGGGGGTTGTTGGGGAGGAAAATCTGCAGTTTCCCCTCACAAGCAGAAAAAAACAAGAAAGGCTCAATCACAACTCAGAAAACTCCAAACACACTCAGAGAAAAGCTAAGCTCCAGACTCAGACTCAAACTCGACTGCGGGGGATCGAGTTTAAGGCTGAGTTTTTCCTGAGTTAGACGCCGAGTTTGTTCTCTTCTCTTTCTTTTTTTCGAGTCGTCCCTTGTGTTTTTCTGTGTTGTGTTTTGTGTTTATTGCAAGTCTGTGGTTTCAGTTGCGTTGTTTGGCTGAATTGGTTGTGAGTTTTACTGATTGGTTTCCCGTGTTTTCGAAACCCCTCCTGTCTGAGCTCGTCTGGTCAGAGCTTCTATATTAGGTGTTCCTTTACTTTTTTTTGTGAACAAACACTGTTATTTAAGAAAACGGCAAACTGGGGCATTGGCCTCACTTTGTCCAAAACAATCAACGCAAACCATTGAGTCCAGGAACCTTTCCCACAGCCACCCGAGCCGAAGGCAGACAGATATTGCGCAGTTCCCCGACGAGACGGCGGTGCAGGCGTTTGCTAAAGCGAGCAGCTGGTCAACTCACTTCCCATCGTAGCTTAACCATTTGAGTGTGTCTTTCTTTGAAGGATCCCCCTTGGGTTACACTGAAGGGCAACCAAGGGCAAAGCACTGATTCCAGGGTTCGCCCATTTTAAGACAAACCCATCTTTTGTATGAGATGCACACTTGCTAATTAGGGGAACCTTCCGCAATAACCCAAGTAACAAATCCAGATTAGAACTTGAACTGGACCTGGTTAGCTAGTCCCTTCAGTGGGTGAGTCCACGAAGATGCCAGGGCTGAAATCTCGCCGGAGAGATTCCTTCCGTGAGGCCGCTATTGTCCCCCAAAACTTCCGATACCGGTCTGTGCGGGTAAAGCAAACCTCTACACTTAGCTAACAGCACAGTCATGCAGAGGGGTTTGTGTAGATGTTGTCGTAGATAGGGGAAACCGGAGTCTTTGGATGTGGCTGAACCTTGTTTGCTCTTCGGACGTTCTTTCTGTTAGAACCAAAACTAGGAAGAAGGGATACTCAGTGACCAAGATGAGTCGAAAATGAAACCCGTTGCATGTGTCAATGTAAGGCATGATCCCAGTTGTTTTGGACCTATCAAATTAGCTGCACCGCAGTGTGTTGCAGGAGCGGCCGCGCAAGTCAAACATGGGGCTGCGCAAGTAAAGCGCAAGTGAAGAGCAAGTGAAGCAGTGATTCATCATCATCAGCATCAGCATCAGCATCATCATCATCATCATCATCATCATCATCATCATCATCATCAGCATCATCATCATCATCATCATCATCATCATCATCATCATCATCATGACCCAAAGATCAGCAAGTTTTGGCGCAAGTCCCGCGCAAGTCGCGCGCAGCCAGCAGATGCCCCCAAACTGCTTGGAGCAGGAGCGACCCATTTCAGTATTTTGCATTTTCTTTTTCCTGCAGATTCCAGCAATTTTGCCGAGTGAATTGGTTAGCATATAATTTGCAGCGGTGTATATACGTGAGACCTCACACACTTAAAGGGGCATGCTATTGGGGGACCTCATGCTTATGAAGACCGCCCCTTGTATTGCCAATGAAAACAACTTGGGATAAGAGTTTTAATACGGGTTTTTTGTTCCAGCTCAGATGATGACAGCAGCAATGTGCCCAAGTGAACGCTTCTTTATCAAACCCATATACGCTTTCTTCGCCATTAAAACGCTGAGAGTTGTACTGCCTTGTAGTGGTGTGTGGCATTCAGCATGTTCTTGCCAGTGATACCATATTTATTAGGAGGCAGCCCAAACGAATTCAAACGATTACGTCATTTATTCGCGTGATTTCGTGTGGGAAAGGCGCCCTGAGAAGCATTGAGGCAAGACAGCTGCAACGAACAAATTCTCGCACACTTGGCAAAGACGCGTTTTGCGATTCATACCAATGGACAGAATCCTGCACCTGTTCCAAATGCATTTCCCCTGCCTCCGGACTTCCTTGAGGCTTTCTGTGTTGGACCCCTTGCTTGTCTCGTGTGACAGGCGTTCAAGGGCTGGGTCAACCGGTTTGGGCCTCGGGGCGAGAGGGACTTGGAATGTGTCCAGGGAACAGAGTTGCCCCTGATCGAGCCTCAAGCTCCCAGGTTCTTTTTAAAAGAGGATGGTTGAAATCGACGCCAAGGAACACCACAAGGGGGGTGGCCTCTTTCGGCTTGTCTGTGGTAGATGAAGAGGGAATTTGTAATGCAACTCCTTTTTCGTGTCTCTTTTTTTGTGGGAGCCCCCCAAAATGGTGGTTAGCCGTTTGGCCTTCCTCGAAAACAGACAAGAGACGCACCAACATCTATCACTTTTTCCGCTTGGGGTCGCTTCCAACAACGTTTTCTGATTGGAAGCTCCATGTACCACAGGAAACCCCGGAGAGACCTCGGAGAGACGGATCCCCGTGCGTCCTTTTCGTTGGCACCCTGTTTGGGGACCCATTGAAAAGAAAAACAATGTTTGTTTCGGAGCAGGGAACACTTTTAGGCGGAGTATTGCAAGCTTCTCGCTTCAATGCAGACCGAGACATTCTGTGACTGCCCCGGCTGAATCGGGTGGATAATCATGCGTGCGGCAGCATTTGAGCGCTCATTTGGAGATTGCAGGACGTGTGAATGCACCCATTGATTCCCTTTCTAGCACATCGTGTGTTCGCTTGTTTGACACGGGGTGTGATCAATAGTCCTGGCCCCAATGGCCATGGGTAACTGTTCCCATTTGGAGAACATCTCTTAGTCTTTCTCCACCAATGGTCAGCCCATGTTCATCGGACCTTTTGATCAACCCCCACATTTTAAGGTTTGCGAAAAAGCTTGCTGGTGCTCACTAGGGAATCCGTGTGTTGGGAATCAACCTAGAGCACTTTTTGAAATGAACCATGGGGGATGGTTTATTAAGGGTCATTCCCTTCTTTCCCTGCTGAGAACCAGCAAGATACAGACCATCTCCTTTTTCCAGGGCCAAGTTCATGGCTTTAGGTACAGTAATGTGTTGTATTTACAACAAGCACCGAGACTCCGAAGTCGTGCATGCGAAGAAACAGTTTGATGAATTTATTGGCATTGAACCGCTCTCAAAGGGGTGCTTCACAACTTAGGAGTCTCTCACTTCTTGAGTTCATGGACTTTACAAATTTGGGAATACCATTTTAGTGGCACACAAAAGTTTGAACTCTTTTTTGGCCACCCACTCAGGAGTTGAGGCCTCCTTCTTGGATTGTGTTAAGCGAAACCGACAGGAAACCAACCACCGGCAGGGATACTGGATCTTGTAGAAGTACCCAAATCAGGCCAAGATGTGGGTCTCGCAGCAATTCAAACGTGGGGTTGCCGTTTTGGCGAGATGCCAGCACACGAGTCCGCAATGTCTGAGTTTGCACACCTCACTTGCCTTTCGTTTAGAGTTTCATACATGGAAGTTGAACACAAAGACATGCTAAGCAAGGACACACCAACCCACGTACATGCTATGATATGAAAGGACACAGGATCAGATGAGCACATGTGTGAAGACATGTAAGTTAGGTGACTGGAAGAGTGAGTTCTGCTCTAAACTTCCTTCATTCAGATTGGCAAATTATAGTAATTCGTGCAGATGGGTTGAAAAGCCGTTCCGGCCATTCGAGGCGGCTGCCAGAGCAGCGAATGCTGCTGGCAGCCTTGCTTTGGCTGGAGGCAGCTCTAGCCGAGGTCCCATGTAAGGTCTGTCAGGTCGTCTCCGGGGTCTCTTGCAACTGGCTCCCACCCGCCTTTGGTGGCCGGCATGCCATCTCTGTTTTTCATGGTTAGTAATCATGCAGAATCAGCGCCCAATCCATCTTAGTGTCACTACTGATTGAATCATTGTTTGACTTGTCCCAACGCTGATCAGCCGGACAAGTGTGTTTGTGCTTGTTGTTGAACAATAGCGTAAAAACCACCACCCTGTGGGTCCTTGTGCTGGAAGCCATCTAAGACCAAAGGACCAACCCAGAAACGCTGCCTCGGAGTTTTTCTCCGAATGCATGCTCCCAGGTTGGCCAAAAGTTGTGAAAACCCTGGTCCAATTGCTTTCAAGGTAAGCCAGGTGTCATCACGTTTCAGGGGGCAGGCCTTGGCGCCCCCTCAGTTTCTGACTTCCTGAGTTCCCAGAATTGAAACTTTGCCCCAGGGACGCATGCGCGGCCGTGAGTCGGTTTCAGAGTTTTCAGGCTACCGCCTTGGAAGTGCAGCTTGTTCCGCCGGGGCCGTAGCCGCGGGGCTGATGGCTTTTCGGAAGTGCACATTGTAACCCCATTTCCGTGTCCCTTGGAGTAAACATGATGTGAGCCAAAACACACAGGGAACAACGGCCCCCACAATTTGCTTCTGCAAAGTGAGTCACTTTGAGATTGCAACGCCTCACCCATGGAGCAACTGGTCCAACTTTCTGCCATGGCTTTATCTTTATTGGGGCCCACACATTTCCTCGAAAACAGTTGATGCAATTTTCATGTTGGGGGTTATCCTGTGTGATGCGAGATGGGAAGCCATGAAGATGGTGAAGGGTCTCTCCGAGAAACTCACTGGGGGTCCCCTAATTGCTTGTGCTATTCTTTTTGCATTATAATGCCCGGTTGGTGTCACCCTGCAATATTGTTTGACTTTTGAGCATTTGAAAGCCAATGTTGAGAGGAACCGCACAATTAATGGACCAGCAACCAGGAGGTGCTTGTCCCCCCACGCCCCCCAAAAAAAGATGGATCTTGGCTTTACTTCACCTCTTGGTTTATGGTTTCCCCTTCAAAAGCGTTTGGGGAAACACCGCCAAGATTTCCAAGGGCACGCCAATTTCGCCCTTCTCAGGGGACCTGGTGCCCAATTGTTTCTTGGTTGCACCCGTTTTGTGGAAGAAACAGGATCCCTCGCAGAAGAGGGTTATCTCGAACCACCAGAGCAACTTGAGTACTGCCATAAGCAAATGGCTGTGGGTCAAAACCAATGGTACCATTTTTGGGTAGGTGTACCACCCATTTTAGAACCTATTTTAGTGGGGATTTGGATGTTCACTGGGGGTACGGGACTTTGACCCATGGCCAAATGGGAAGGACACCTGAGCCCTCCCAGGTCTGATCTGAGTGCCATCGCCCTTGGCCTTCTCTCTGGAGAGGCAGAGCCCTGGCCGGCCGTTGTTTCATTCACGGGGGCAAGTGCAATGACATTCAAGCAATGATGCTAGAAATGGGGGGATACCATTGTTCATGGCCACTCGGCCACTAGGCAAGTGAGTTTTGGATTTGGTTTGTTCCACAATGGAGAAGAAGACTTCCAACATGCAGAGCCTAAAGCCAGGCATATTGACATGTAGAACCTGAGTAGAAAAAACAAAAAACACATGGGGTTAGTCCCAACCCTCTCGCATATCTGGGCGGGCAATTCAGACTTCCTTGCCGAGTGTTTGCTCGTGACTCATTTTGGCAGAAACCCCTGAGGCTCTCATCGAGCGGACAGACATTCCAATCATATGGCCTTGAGAACAGGGGGAACACAGTGGAACATGATGGTGAACATAAATCCCAACCTGAACGATGTCCTTCAAAGGGCCCCTAACAAACACTCATACCTATACAAGCAACCAAAGACCTCACTGCGCCCGCCAGCTGGCTTAGCACTGCCATTGCCGGGGGGGTGTGCAATGCCAGCGCTGGACGAGGCACCCAAGATGCGCGAGGCCAAACCGGAGGCGGCCGAAAACACCGCGGAGTAGGATCGGTTCACGGGGCTGAGCATCGTGAACAGGACGACGCCCAGGGAGGTTTGGGAAGCGGAGATGGAGAAGCAGACAAAGCGGCGTGCAAATCCGGCACATCCCTCTGTACTGCAGCGGCAAAAACCGCCAGGCGAAGGACAACATCATCGTCGGGGCTGGCGCAAGGCGGAGAACGCGCGGACTGCGCAGCGCGGAGCGATCAGCCATCATGCCCCGGCTCCTTGACACGACCTCTGTGTTCGCCAAAGACCAGATCGTTTTCATCGAGAACCCAAATCAAGTCCAGAAGCTCGGGGACTGCCCGGACTTTGGCAGCTGCAAGAAGAAGGGCTGCAAGCTGCCCTGCAACACAGCCCAGAAGGAGGCCTACTGCAAGCTCCACCTGAACGCACTCTACTCCTCGCAGTCGTACGAATCACTGCGG